AAAATTCGATAAAAATAGTAAAATATTACGATTTTCTGATAAAACTCCGTTAGGAACATGGTTTATTAATAAAAGAAAAAGATTTATTCCCAGATAATGTGCGCTTCGTGGAAGACCGTGAACTGTACACCCAAATTTGCGAAATGATTTTAACCCTCCAGCGGGCGGTACCCGAAGGAATGCGAGTTTCCTTTTGAAAATCGGGATTTCCCGATGAAAAAAATCAATTAAGAATGGGAATTTTTTGTAAGCTTGTGCTGACCATAGGTCAGCCGTGGTGACTAGGGTGTTTGCAACGCCAATGCCCATGGACGGTCTACAGCATAAAAACGTTTAATTTTGTGATAATTAGACGAACGGAAATTAAATAAAAGTAATAATTCCATTAAATAGTACAAAAAAAGGACTTCCAAACAAGAGCATAGCAGTGGTCAATAAGTTGACCACTGGTCAGCAAAAAATTAAAAACTACCATATCCCGTTGCCATGTATTTTGACCACTATTTACAGATGGAATACAGAAATAAACGATGCTAACGATATTTCTCTCCCATAACTTTCATTATACTCTCATAGGAGACTGCACGAAGCATCATTTTTGAAGTTTAACATTGCATTTCTTGAATGTCTGGCACGCCTAGCCGCCTTTATACTGCCCGCATTGTGCGCGTTTGCATTTTTCCTTGGTATGGCCGCAAGTGCCACTGTCCAAAAAGGCGGCGCGGATAGTCCAGCTGCAGTGGTTATTAGCGCAAAATGAGATATTAGACACCGGTCACTAGCACCTTCTGGAACGCGTTAGCGACCGGAAGAAACTAGCTAGGCTGCCGCAAAGGTCAAGATCCCCAATGTGCACGCGTACAGTGAGCACTACCAGTTACTGTAGTTTTTAACCGCCCGAGACTGATGGAACAGAATTCATGTTTCTGAAAAGCTATGCAGCTCTCGTCTTGCATTAATATGTAGAAACGGGCCGCCGTGGTGTTGTGCCGCCATTCACAGTGTTACTGCAACGACGGTATAGAATTACAATTAGGACTATCATGTTCGGTTCCTCTAAGCGTTCCGTTTTCCGGAAGCCGAAAAATTGAGAGACGATTTTGTCTTTTCGCCGACCGCCCGGGGTGTTGATACGCAAAAGCGTTTTTTGCCAGTTTCCGACCAACAGAACCGCGTGGCGCATGTTTCGCGTACGAACCGACAGTAACTTAATCTGATTATGTAATAAAGCGAAATAGTCGAAATTGCACCCGACCGTGTATTCGAGACCATTTCATGGGCAATAGTATTGGCACGCAACACAAATTTTTGGCGGGCTGTGGTCTTCTACGGTTCAACTTACGAGACCCGTGTTAATTTATTTTGAATAGAACGTTGTTAGTTGTACTTTGTTGATTTATCTCTGGTTTAATTATTCATCCACTAATTAGTTAATTAGCAAGATCTACGAGAGCTTGAAAAGTCCGAAATTAGCCATTTTCGGGCAACGGTCATTTGTAAATAACTTGAGATATAAGTTTGAATTATGCTTTTACTGCTGCTTTAAAGTCTCTTATTGCTAATTATGCTAATTGATATTCATTAACTGTTCCCAGTCATTGGGAAAAAATTCAGAAGACCATGTTGCGTCCTGACGTCAATGCCCGTTACGTTCGGTAAAGTGCAACAAAGAAGCACATTCGCGCGGAGCGCGAAGCTAACGAACGGTTTGACTGAAAAAATCGTTAGAAATTCAATAAAAAATAGCAATTTCTGCAGTTTTTTCCAAAGCCGGTAAATTTTTTCAAGCAGTAGTCCCCCCTTTACTTTTTTGAAGTACCCACTTTTCCGAAAATTTCGGAGGGGGCACGTGCCCCCGTGCCCCCTCCCCTAAATTCGCCCCTGATCTACACGTTCCGATCTTCCGGTTTCACATACTCTATGTCCAGCTCTTTGAAGATATCCTCCTCACTGTCCACTTTGGCGGCATTGTCCGCTTTGTCGCCAATGCCGATGCCGGTACAGTCCGAACTCATTCAACAAGAATCCCTTTGATTTGGCTCTGGAGCTCATCTCCTGCACAAAGACATCAATGCCCGTCCAATGCAGCACCACCGCAGCTTCCTAGCTGTCGGGATACATGCAAGCAGCAAACATAGGTTATAGGCCGGAGAACTAGAGTTTAAACTGTAATATTTATTGCAGTTTAAACTACAAAAATAACTGCAGTTGGGAAAAATCGAATTAAAAATTATTTAAAGAAATAATTTACTAAAATCCGATAAATGGGTCAGCGATCGCGCTGCGCCATGCATGCTCGCTAGAATGGTCATGGGCGATAAAAACAACAACAATGCGCACAAGAAAACCACAACAATAACAATCCCTTACTGTGTGCCTGCTCTTCCGAATCATCAGGAAATCCCACATCGCAGCCCCATCACACACAAAAATGCAAACGTGTTCATCGTTCGTTATGAAGTTTTTGATATGTATATAAGAAGCGAATACAATCATACTGTAAATACGGTAGAACGCTGATCCTCTCGTAATTAGAAAACCACTAATTCATTATTAATCACAACATAACTCACTACAGTATATGAAAATACGCTAGCGCAAAGAAACAGTAGGCATTTTAAAAAAACAGCTGCAGAAATGGCGGGATAAACATAATTGTTACCTTGTAAATATTGATAAAAATGACCAAGCAGTAGAAAACCACAATGATTATAGTTACAGCTAAATGCACACGTTCTAAAATATTGACAAAAACCAATCTAAATGTCCACATTGCTTCCAGTCTCCTCATCTTCAGTGTCCACGGATTCCCCACGCGGATCGCGTCCATTCGTAACCGGCTTGGCTACAATGTCAATTCATAACATTAAAAAATGGCCAAATAACTGAAAAAATTTAACCAACCAATTATGCTTGCTTTGGCACGTTGGATAACGATGTCTAGTTCAGCAAACTGTTCATGGAAAGGCTGACTGTCATCGGATCCGGTCAGATATCGGTCGGCAATGATGCGGTTTACCTTTTTCATTTGATCTGCAATGCCTGGCATAGCGCTACGGCCTAAAAGAAAAAACACAATTACATCGAGAACGCTGTGTACAATGTTGATTGTCTACCGATGCCAACTCCATCCATTTTCTCAGTTAGAGTCAGAAATTCGTGCGTAAGAGTATCAAAGTCGGCATCGCTGTTTAATGGAAAATCGGACACTAATTCCGGAACGCGTCCCAACTTATTCCACAAATTCAAATACACTTTTCCACGGCCTTGCAAGTCGGTGGGTAAGAGATTCTTGGCCGGCTTCATGATGGTGATAGTACCGTCGCCATTGTCGATATTGCTCTCATGCCGGTGCGAAAGATCGGGGCTGCTGTTGCTTTGGGCAATGGTGGATTTGATTGTGTCCCAATCTTTCTTTCGCAACTCTGTTAAATCATCGACCCAGCAACTTTCATCAAATGATGGGAGGCTTCCGGGTGGTACGAGAGCAAGATGGTTTTTAATACACTCCAGATGCTTACGCAGCAGGTTCGTAGCGCTGCTGTACATTTCACGGGACATTTCGGCAATGTCTTGGAATAGCTCAAACTGACGCAAATGAAAATACGCCATGTCTGCTGACGTTTTCCTAAACTTGTCGGCCATTTCTCCCTGTGGAATACGAGGTTATCATTACACATATATTCAGTTTAAAAACAATACATACAGTTTCAACCCGCCAGTTCTCTGGTTTGTTGGCAATCCAACCGGCAATGGCTGCTGCAGGTTTCGTGCGAAACTCAATCTTTTTGGTCAATTCGCTACTGGCACAAGTCCGAAAGTACGCTGGAAGCCCCAAAGCCGGCGACTGCTCCTTCTCCTTCTCACGATTTGGCTTCTGTTTCGGCTTCTGTTTCGGCTTGGTGATCCCTCTGGGAGCCCTACAATAAACAGAGTATTGATACTCGTACATGTACAAGAACGAAAACACACACACACACACACACATTACAAGCATGGGTGTATGGGTGTATTAAAAAGGGTGTATTAAAAGGGTCTAAGAATGGGTGTATTAAAATTTACGAACTAGCAGGTGAAACTGTATGACGGTACACGGGTGGCATAATCTCAAAGGTCATTTTTGCACTTGTGAGAAATACACCTGCCGGTTACTGTACACGTACAGTCTACTGTATATCATCTGCATAATTGCAACAGAAATAATGAGAACCACAGCCTTCCTTAAGCAGTTTAAATTGCAAGCTTTGTAGGTAGATGTGGACCACAATATTTGCTGAAGAAATCCATTGACGATATCTGGCTAGTACAATACTCAAAGGTTTTTTCGACACTTGTGAGTATATAACGTGCCAAATACCGGCTATCCAAATATTTCAAAATCTTCGCAACTCGAGATACGTTTTATACCAAGATGACAAGCTGTAGTCAATGTCTCCACAGAATGTTCGTGTAATCTAGAGATAGGTAATATTCGCACCCTATACCAGATTTCCACGACACGCTGTACGAGGCAACATCCAGTCCGTAAAAACAACAACAGAAATGCTGATCACAGTCCCCTTGGAGCAATTTAATTAGTTAGCTCTGCTGAGACCTGTGAACGACATCACATGCTGCATCGAAATCTGTCCAGTTTGCGGCCTTCCTAACGACTGCTGTTAGGGATACAGCAAACGAACAGATTACACTGCAGCAAGTTGCGAACGATCATATACCAAGAAAGTGGTAATCACACCGAATAACTAAGTTTAAACTGCAGCTTATATAGAAATCCGTGCCAAGAATGTTTCTATCGGACCGAGACCAGTTTGGGTTTAAGTAAAGCCATCACTGGGACGTGACCGCTGGCAGTGTCAAATTGTTGCGTAAACGACCAAAACCGGACTCAGTCATTTTGGTAAAAAATCCGAATCGACACGCTAGAGTTTGATTTATAAACAGCGATAAAATTCTTCTAAAATATCAGTTAAAATCACGGGTTATAGCGATATAATTCCTAGCCAAGACGAGCAAGGTGACACCGATGGAGGTCAACAAAACGCCACCGAAACCGACTCAGATGGTAATTGCAACAACTTGACAACGCGTTTCAATTGTTTTAATTTTTCCTTATTCTACAGTTAACGAAAGCGGCTCGTGCAGCGGAGATTCAACAGAAAACAATGGCACCACGTCCAATCAAGACAGTAAGCAAATTATGATGCTATTACTTTTAAAATTGAAGAAACTGATATAATTTTTTTCTTATAGTTGAAGAGAATAGTCGCAACGACTTCGACGATGGCGACGAAGTCGACGACGTAAAAACCAAAGATTGCAATGAATCCAGCAGAGAAGATCTGGAAAAGTGCGAGTGTGACCGATGTGCGCCCCTTACGCCAACGCCGTAATTCTATCTGAATCGCTCCAGTAATTGGGCATACGTCGCATCAACATCCGCAATGGATTTGGCGCCAAGAATATTACATTTTCCGCTATTAAAGATAACGCATGTAGCTTTTTTCATTCTCAGTGTTAAACCGGGAAATAATGACGGATCATAAAATTCCACAAAATTAATTGCTTGTATTGTATCGAGCTTTTGCTTTTGTATTTGACAAGTGGCAGTTATATTGACGATCCGAAAGTTTGTTATTTTTGCTTTATAACCGAATCGAAGCAGCTTTCTGTGATAACAATGCAAAATTTCCATTGTTTGCTCTTCGCTTTTACCCCCATTGACCGTGATTTTACCAGTGCTGTATAACTGGCAATGAAATTTATGCGGATAAAATTTTCTCCACAACAGCGCTGAGAATGTTGTAGGGTAATATTCAGCAATTATATTTTTAGTGCAGAGATCCTGCAAGTCAATCTGCACATTCAGCTCAGCAGTAGCCACAATATTGGTAACTGTCGCCATAATGTATCCTACAGTAGAATATAATTTGCGTTTCCAATGGCCTTTCGGAGCAGTTGTATGCGGGCCAACCATGAGCGGAAAAACCGTTTTTGTTTGCAAATTACTGAAAACAAATTTTATGACAGTTCAGCCAACGCGTAAGGTTATTGCATATAGTCAGTGGCAAGACAGTTATAAACGTATTCAGGAAATTTTTCCTCACACGGAATTTATCAAAGGAGTTGCCCAAATTATCGAAGACGAAGCGTTTTTTGATGCGGAGCAAAATAATCTATTTATTATTGACAATTTGGCCGATGAGATGGTTAATAACGGAAGTAAACTGTTTACTCAAGGCATACATCACACAAATTTGAGCGTAATTTACATTACGCAAAACCTATTTAAGCAAGGACGAGCATCCAGGGATATCACATTGAATGCTCAGTATATAATTTTATTCAAAAACGTGCGTGATTCGACGCAAGTAAATTTTTTTGCCAGACAAACTGGGCTAAAGCATTTAAGAAAAGCCTATGAAAAAGTTACTGCATTTCCATTTGAACCTTTAGTTATTGATTTAAGACCAAACTGTCCAGATTTTTTACGAGTACGATCAAATTTGCTGCCAAGTAACGACGACCAACAGGGAATGCAATGCATACGAATCTACACTGATCCGGCTGTTTATCCAGTACCATGTCGTCCCCCAATTTGAAAAGCGTAACTCCTCTGGTGCTTTTTCTTTCGGCGCTAAAGCCCAAGGAACGTCGGGCAGTCGCTCAGTATTGCACCCGAAATCACGTTAAAGGACTGGAAGAGTGTTGTTTAAATCTGGTTAAAAACACAGTCATTTTGACTTTAAAGCAGCTCAGCACATGCCGGAAGTGGCGTAAATCTTTAAAGTTACTAGCTTTGCGCAGATACCCATTTAAGGCGAAAAAACAATTGTTAGTGCAGAAGGGTGGATTTTTAAGTGCATTATTGCCAATTCTTGCGATCGTTTTAACCGGAGTAATTTCACAGCAATAATGGAAACTCATTTCATTGTGCCCGAAAGGGATATGAAAAAGCGAGCGGCAGAGTTGGCTGTTTTTTATACTCCTCCCGAAGCAAGTAAGATTTTATCACTGGATCAGCTCACTGCCGAAATTTTGAACGACAAAAATTTAAGTGAGTTTCAAAAAGCTTTGCTGCTCAGCAAAAGTTTAGAAAGGTTTTTGGCTTTAAAACCAAGAGCTTTGCCAGACCATAATCCAATTGAAGAAATTCAAAAAAACGACGCTGACGAGCAAGAGTTTCAACCGACACCAGCCCCAGAAATAAAAAAACCCAAACTGTCCAGAAAGCGATCCAAGTCACCTGAACCGCGACGTCGTAATCTGTCTGCTGTTAAAAAGCGGTTAGATTTTACTACTGAAAAGCGGCCAAAAAGTACAAGAGTACGGCGACCACCAAAGCATGATTCGGCGGAAGGATATGAACATCAAGGTTTTGGGCACCGGTGGTTAACCATTTAAAAGAGAAATGTCTGGCGGCTGTGTTCCTTTCACCGTTAATGTTGGTGAAGGCATGAAATTGAACTGTATTTCTTCCTGTTGCGAGAATGATGATGATAGTAGTGTTGTACATGTAAAAGCGCCATCAAAAGACGCCAGCACACAATCACCCGAAGTGTTAAAGGAAACTGCCAACGGGTCGCAAGATGGATCGGCATTACCTAAATCGAAAATCGGTAGCTAGTTTAGGCGGCGTCGAGCGGTTCCGGTCTAATATACCTGACACACTGGACACCAAGGCAGCTCAGCAACTGCTCGAAGGCTTAGAGACGCGTATACGTAACACAAGCAAGTGAATCGACGGTTTGGTCGAAATAAAGTTCAGGTAATGAACCTTAACGAGCAGCTGCAAGTGGACCTTATGGATATGAAAAAGTTTAAGAAAGAAAACAATGGAGTGCAATATGTGCTAGTAGCAAACGACTGTTTTTCAAGGTATGATCAGTGTGAACCTCTGAAAAGCAAATCAGCAGAGGAAACGGCCAAAGCTCGAGGGAAAATTTTGATCCGCATGGGTCCATACGATAAAATTCAGGCAGACAAAGGGCGAGAATTTTACAATTCTCAGGTGAAAGCTTTATTAAAAAAACGAGAAATTGTATTATTTTCGTCAGAAAATGACGATATTAAATGCGCGAACGCTTGTGGCGTTTATTTACGGCTCGGAAATCAGCCGTCTACATTGACCAGTTGGAGAATATAGTCAAGTCTTACAATAACACAATCCACTCCGCGCACGGATTTAAACCGATAAATGTTAAGCAGAAAAACTCGCTCTAAGTCTATCGAAATTTGTACGGATATTCATGTGAAAATAGAGGTGTTCCGAAATTTAAACTTGGTGATACAGTGAGAATGTCCAAGAAAAAACTAGATTTTGAAAAAGGTTACGAAACTAATTTTCAAAAAGAACTGTTAAAAATTTCCAAGGTTATTCCGCATGCCCCGGAGCCTGTGTACCAACTTTGCGACTCTTCAGGCGAAGAGATTCTAGGAAAATTTTACCGGCATGAGCTGGTACGTGTAAGATGACGCACCATCAAATAAACTATCGCCATCCGTTTTATGTCACTCTTCCTAGTGACGCCTGTTCAGAAGTTTATGAAGAAAATACGGCTTCGTCATGGAAAACAAAATTATATAAAACAATAAATTTAACTGGAAAGTGGGAAGTTGCTCTTGTGGAGTTATTATATCCCAATACAATCTACAACATTCCAAGTAACCAACATTTTGAGTGCGTTCAAATAATCAAACCGAAAAAGGTTACGGATAAAGATTTTAATTTGCAACTCTTTGACACACAAAGATGGACTATACGTGTGTATGCTGGTAACTATACGGCAGCAGAGTTGATCAAGACAATTTCCCAGCAGATTCCAAAGTATTACAATATCGCTGGACAAGAAACCACCGAGCCGGCATTTTCTATGCATTTGTTACCAGACAATCAAAAAATTCAAATAACGCTGCCCAGCATTCGAGCGCTTTTGGAATTCTCTTATCATGGAACTCTGATTAAAAACATACTGGGTTTGGAGCACAATCTGGTAACCGCGGCACACAGCCCTAGTGCAAAAAAATTTTTTAATATGGAAACAAACAATAAAAACGAGGATCCGGTTCAGCTTATTTACAACTATTTTGACATGCGAGACATTAGAACCATTCCAGAGCAACAGTTAATGTACGATCTGGATAAAATTCCCTTTGCTTACATTGCTCCAAAACCGGTTAACACGCATTTGGGAAACCAATCTTTATTCATTTACTGTGATGTCTCAGATTTTTCGCTAGTAGGCGACGCGTATGCGCAAATTCTGCGTATTATTCCTATTAAAACAACCAACGCATTTGAGCTCATTACTGAACGATTTGATGTGCCACATTATGTTCCGGTTTTGAAAAATATTTTCGACATTATTGAAGTGACTATTGCAGCGGATCTAGGGCTTAATGCCAACTTTGCTTCGGGAAAATCAATGATCAAGTTGCATTTCCGACCTGTGCGGTACTAAGATGGGTTATAAGGCATTTAACCCTGAAGCGGGGTTGTTCGATGATCTGTTAGGCAGTAACCAGCTAGGAAGCGGTTTTATCCGCTATAGAGGGTCTTATCAAAACGGCGGCGGTTTTGGTAGCTTTTTGAAATCTGTCTTTTCCAAAGTAGCCCGATTTGTGGCACCGATAGTGCGATCTGCTGCACCGCAAGCGCAAGCTGCATTGGAAGCCGCTACCCCACACCTTAAAGAGGCTGCCAGCACTGTAGTGCAAGAAGCAGCCAAGTCAATCGGCCAGAAACTGAACAAAATTGTGCAACCCGAGGAAACGCAGACGGGTAGCGGTAAACGAAAAAGAAGAACAAAATCACAAAAATCGGCATTAAAGCGGTCACCAAAAAAGCTTAGGCGACTACCGCCTTACGACCTGCCAGATTTTATTTGAAAACGACCATGGCATCAATAATTGAAGGATCTGAGCCAGCCATTGCGGCGGATTCGCACATTTTTGCGATTCCTCCGTCTTTTGCTGACCGCTTTCGGACTGAAGAAGAGCGTATAGGACCAATAGCAGCTATACCGGAAAATTTACCGGCAGGGGGCGATATCAATTTTTATATCGCCCCGTCTTCTAATGCTATGCTTTCACTACCGGATATTAGTTTGGAAGTGGAAGTTGCAATAAAAAAATGCAATGACAAGAGAGACTATATCCGTCTGGCTGCAGCGGATAAATGTGCTCCCGTAAACAACTTGCTACACTCAATGATTCAATCGGTACAGGTGTCGGTTGCCAATCGCTTGATAAGTGACTGCGCAATTTATTACCCGTACCGTGCCATGATGGAAATACTTTTAAATTATACAGCGGAAGCGATGGGCTCTCAGCTGACCTCGGGAGCCTATTACGCTGACACAGCAGGCAAATTTGAAGATTACGATCAAAATCCGGGTGAAAAATCTCGCAAAGCACTGTTTACAGCGAACGATTATGTCCCGTTAAGTGGAAAAATATTTTCTGACCTTTTCATGCAAGATAAGCCGTTAATAACAGGGGTTCCTATTCAAATCCGATTATTGTTACATAAACCTGAATTCTATTTACGTATATGGGGTGAGCCCGCAGCCGGTGCTGCTGCTGAAGAATACCGCTTATTTATCCGCAATTCACGGATTTTTGTCCGCCGCTATGTTGGTAATTATACAAAATTTTAAAAATTAAAGCAACAATTGTCATTCGATTTTTTTTTCAAGGTATCCCTGATTACATGAACGCCGTCTCAAAGCGACTCTTAACGACGACCGC